GTAAGTTTAACAATAAATTCTTGCGACATTTTAAAATCAAGAGAGGATAAATAATGTATTTAATTAACGTTCCACAACCCACTAGGCCTAATAAAGTAGAAATTCCCTGTGTTAGAACGGTGCTTAAATCTATATTTAAATAGCATCATTATCTCATATCTTCCTCTTTAATGACTTAATAGAGTAATTAAATTTTATTTCAGGGTATTTTGGCTCCTTATACCAATCTATTTTATTATTACTTTCTATATACTAATATAATACTACTGATTATGAATGTTTATTTGCATTATTTATAAACAAAGTCTTGTACGTAAAAAGTTGTTAAGAGGGTTTTTTCCGTTTGACGACAACCAGTAATGAAATTAATTTATTACTCTCTGATTTAAACGAGAACAACGATAATATTTCAAAAGCTTACAAGCTACTACTTTTAACTATAAAAAAGGAGGTTTGACAATAATGACTGTATACAATTATATGTCACACAGGCAACATCGTACTTAACTACTGTATATGTGTGTACGTTTTATTGAAGCTAATAACCTTGCATAATAACCAGTATTTCGCTCACTCACAAACTTTCTGCCCTCTTCTTGTGAGTATCAAAACTACCTGGAGCATATTATTGGTTCAGCAATAACTCAGAAAACTTATTACGCTAATAATCGGGTTTCGATACCTGTGGTGGGTACAGAACAGATAGCCCATTGTGTAACTTTGCGCGTAACAACAGCAAAATATTGGTGTTTGCATGCAGTCCTTTCACTGCTTGTCTCAGATGTTGATTTATTTTTGCAAAATGTTTAACATACAGTATTAATTTTTATCACTTTCAAATGTATAGGGGGCGCAGTTTGACGCTATAGTAAAACTCTGAATTTCGTAATGGGCGAAACGAGATCGAATCCGTGCAATACTACAGAACATACCCCACACTTTAGGTTGTAATTGCCCTATAAAAGTGACAATCAGTCCCATGTTGTGAATAGTGCCGATGACTGTCTCTCATTTAACTTAAATGCAAAAATACAAGTACCAAAACATAGCAAGTACAATATTAAATAGCCTTGTATCGACCACGAATAAACTCACCAATGAAAATGTCAAATGAAATTTATATTATAAGTTTAAAGCTTGTCTGATATTAAAATTAAGGGAGAGAAGAAGATAAAACATAATACCAAAAAAGTAAAAGAAAATTTACCCAAGAGCTTGAGAACGTTTTTTAATCACTATTACAATAACTTTTATAAATAATTTTAAAGTTTAGCAAGTCGATGTTTTAATAACTGCCTGTGGAATGTTGCATAATTACAGGAATACTAAACAGTACGTGTTTACATGTGAATTATCAAAGAACTTAATACATGTTAACCTGACACTGGTAGTTATCAAAGCACTTAAATGCGTGCTTAGTGGTTTGTATTGTTGTCTACCAAAGCACTTAATGCATGCTTAATGGTCTGTATTGTTATCTACCAAAGCACTTAATGCATACTTAATGGTCTGTATTGTTGTCTATCAAAGCACTTAATGTTTGCTTAATGGTCTGTATTGTTGTCTACCAAAGCACTTAATGCATACTTAATGGTCTGTATTGTTGTCTAACAAAGCACTTAATGCATGCTTAATGGTCTGTATTGACAGCTACCAAAGCACTTAAAATATGTTTACGTAAGGTGCAATCAATTCTCTAAGCAGGCAATGCATGGTTACATGACATTGTCAATTACCAAAGAATTTATGCGTGTTTACGTAGTATGCACTGCCATTTTTCAAAGCACTTGTGAAGTACCAATTACCAAAACCCTTAATACATGTTTACATACTGTTAACTGTCAGATAGCAAAGCACTTATGCAGTGTTAGTTACCAAAACACTAAGTGCATGTTTAGATAGGATTTACTGTCATATATCAAAGCACTTATGCAGTGTTAGTTACCAAAACACTAAGTGCATGTTTAGATAGGATTCACGGTCAGATATCAAAGCACTTGTGCAGTGTTAGTTACCAAAACACTAAGTGCATGTTTAGATAGGATTCACGGTCAGATATCAAAGCACTTGTGCAGTGTTAGTTACCAAAACACTAAGTGCATGTTTAGATAGGATTCACTGTCAGATATCAAAGCACTTATGCAGTGTTAGTTACCAAAACACTAAGTGCATGTTTAGATAGGATTCACTGTCAGATATCAAAGCACTTATGCAGTGTTAGTTACCAAAACACTAAGTGCATGTTTAGATAGGATTCACTGTCATATATCAAAGCACTTGTGCAGTGTTAGTTACCAAAACACTAAGTGCATGTTTAGATAGGATTCACTGTCAGATATCAAAGAACACAATTGGTTGATTATCTTTCAGAAGATTATTATCAAGTTATGCTTTACGTGAATCAATCCTCAAATTTGCTCTTTTCGACATTTGAAATGCATACTTTAGAAACATAATATAGTTAATATAGAAACATGAAGCTCTAATACTGCAGTCATAAACTGGGTTTTATAGAAACTAGTGAAATGTTTTGTCAGCTGTTTCTGATCTCAGCTAAATTAACGTTAAACAATGATACTTTAATATTGATGTTTAACAGGTACAAATGTACGCGATTTGCTATTGTTTACAATATATATTTAACAATATATACTTTAGAAACATAATATCGTTAATATAGAAACATGAAGCTCTAATACTGCAGTCATAAACTGGGTTTTATAGAAACTAGTGAAATGTTTTGTCAGCTGTTTCTGATCTCAGCTAAATTAACGTTAAACAATGATACTTTAATATTGATGTTTAACAGGTACAAATGTACGCGATTTGCTATTGTTTACAATATATATTTAACCACAACTAATATCTTACTTTACTCGATGATCGACCGAAAATAACGTCAATAACTAGACTACTATGGATACATCTAAGCCTTCTTAATGCCGTCAGGCCAAATATTTTGTTTTGTATAGATTGTAGTGTTCGGAATTCGAAAGTCTGAAACACATGAGAAACAAGATAGCGCATTGTACCGATCCATTTTTCAGTCTAAGGAAAGTTTTCCTGGCGAATTTTATACTTATAACTTCAGGCCATTTGGAAAAGCTTTGTATAAATAGGAGTTTTCAGGCACTGAAAAAAAAAGTATACACGAGATTCAGATAGTCATTATTAGTGCTTTCCATTATTTATCAAAAAAGCAGAGTGGCTTTTACATTGCCGTCGTAGTGGCGACTTTGGCTTTTTCAGCCGAACTGATCTATTTACTTAACATGTGAACTGACAAAAACTTACATATACAAGAAACGGCCCTTTCGTCTGCTTCACTACTGTACGAGCGTTTCTGTTCAACGGTCATTTCTTGTGTACTATGAATTTATGTTTTTTCCTTTTTCTAAGGTTTTATAAAATGATATAAATTTCGAATGCTTTTCCACTAGGAAATATCAGAAAGTACGTCCATATAAAAGCATTGACTTTATCTAAAGAACGAAATACGCAGCTGAGGATTTTTTTTTTCCTTTTTCATAATTTATGTTATAAACGTTTAACGAGTAGTATATACAAAACAATGCATCCTTATCGTAATGCTAAAGGAAATATTTCAAGGAGTTTTTAGACGTTTTTAACGACCATGGTATCAGACCAGAAATATTATAACCTTATTTATTTTAAATGTCAAAACCCACCAGAGACATATTTATGTCTCATGTTATTTGTTTCAACAAGATCTTTCTTCATATATATGGACCTAGTCCGGCGATGGCCAAAATTGATTTATTACTCCGGATATTCCTAATATTCTGGCTGGAGTGTGAAATACAAGGACAACAAAATAGAGGATGGTTTAGATATCATCATTATGGGATATTTTCAAATTTCCGTTTCTATTTAACAATAATAACCTTAATATTATAATTATATATTTCTTTAACCTATTCAAACTGTCCGGATTATATTGTCGTGTGATAACTGTGTTTGTGTGACATCTCATTTACTTCATGCGTTTTTTACCCGATTTTTGCCAAGGAACTGCACACACACCTAGCTATGTTCGTTCATTAGACGACCTTCCAGGAATCCCATGTTTTATTACTTATGATCGATTTTAATTATGGTGTGAGAAAAACTGATTCATTATTGTAATTTGCCAGCAGGAAGACTACTTCATTTGATTTTCCAATGACGAACAAAAATTAGTAAACTAAAACATATCTTATGATACCAAACTTTATCGTTTTTTCATGTAAAAGAAACGTCCACCGTGAGTTACTTATTTTCAAATTGAATTTTAAATTTAAATAACATCTGATGTAGGTTCAAGAGTTTCAGTATTCAGACATAGCCAAACCTAATTTTAAATTGTACTGACCAGAGGAGGATGCAGCCATCCAGCAGCATCCGAAGCTGCAAAAGCGTTTAATCCAGTCCTTTAAACTTAATAACGAGATTGACTGTCACGTTTATAACACGCTCAAAACGTGCTCAGTAACATCACGTCTTGAAACCCATATTATTCAATCCCATAATACGTCACGCTAACCATCAGGCTACATATTTTGGACATGTATTACAAATGATACAGCGTATCGTAGCTAACCATCAGGCTACATGTTTTGGACATGTATTACTAATGTTACAGCGTATCGTAGCTAACCATCAATCTACATGTTTTGGACATGTATTACAAATCTTACAGCGTATCGTAGCTAACCATCAATCTACATGTTTTGGACGTGTATTACAAATGTTATAGCGTATCGTAGCTAACCATCAGGCTACATTTTTTTACAAATGTTACAGCGTATCGAAGCTAACCATCAGGCTACATGTTTTGGACGTGTATTACAAATGTTACAGCGTATCATAGCTAACCATCAGGCTACATGTTTTGGACATGTATTACAAATGTTACAGCGTATCGTAGCTAACCATCAGGCTACATATTTTGGACATGTATTACAAATGTTACAGCGTATCGTAGCTAACCATCAGGCTACATGTTTTGGACATGTATTACAAATGTTGTATCGTATACAACAATATTATATTACAATATATTTGCAGGGTACGATCCAGAAATTCCTGGCTACCCTAGGTTCGGCATGGTAATAGACCGAGTCAGAGGTGTGTATAACTTAAGAATTGCCAACGTTCAGCTTCAAGATCAAGGAGAATACGAGTGTCAGGTTAGAATTCTATCTCGGTTAGTTTCCTTACGTCATATTATTTTTAAAAAAAAGAGAATAAAATTGTTAAATATATTTTTAAATATCAAGATTGTGATCTAGAACATAGAATACAAATTATTGAAGTCGAAATTCAATCTATATGGAAAAAATATTTTAAAATGTGTAACTATAAATACTCTAAGACTTACACTTCCATAACAAAATAGCCAAATAGTACTCCAAAAGCTAGTTGCCTCACACTTAATGTCTTTTTACACACATAAACAGCACATAAAAAGTGTCCACTTCTTTGTAATGCTACTACTTAAATATATATATATATAGCTACTTTTAATTACTAAAAAGTGTATAACACTATAGCAATACATGTTATAACACTAGGTTGGACCAGCTCTAAACAACAACAGAATCTGGGAAAAGGCAAACCTTACTGTTCTAGGTAGGTTTTAATTTATTATTTTGTTTCTTATTATAATCATTGTTGCTTTTGAACGCGCATGCAAGTTTTCATTTCATTTAAGAGCACTTGGTAATACGATAATAGTATTCACGGTTTTTATCCAAATAGTCAATATGATATTAAATTATATTCGTAAAAATTAAACGCACTAGAGGAATCGACAGTGAACGTCATTTCTTAGACGTCGACGAAATAAGTAGATAGTATATAACGTAAAAAGGTTATTAGAGAATGTCAAATGTTTAATCAACATGGGAGAAATGTTTCAAAGGTGTTTGTTGACTAACTATTAACCCTTACATATTTACTAGGTTACTTACATACTTTTAACACCAAAATCGTTCCTTAATAATGGGACATTGAATGAATGTCTAATCATTACCTGAGAGAGAAAGTATATACGTTGTACTTTACTCTCACTCGGTGGTTTTCAGAATTACTAATGTCGTTAGTTGCCAGGTGGTTATGGAGCTCGACTCGCAATCTGAGGATCGCGGGTTCGAATCCCCGTCCCCCCAAACATACTCGCCCTTTCAGCCGTGGGGGCGTTATAAAGTGACGATCAATCCCACTATTCGTTGGTAAAAGAGTAGCCCAATAGTTGGCAGTGGGTGGTAATGACTAGCTGAACATTGCAAAGCAATTTGAATCATTTTATGGATATGTATAGATCTTTGCAATTCTCTATCAACAGACAAGATAGCCCTTATTTGAACATGATTGAGTGTTATATTATATTATATACTAGCTAGAGTACCCGTCCCCTGGACGGAAGTTATCTAAATTCATGATTAATTAAAGGTTATCTTAGGACATGAAAAGTTGCTTCCCTTATATGGAATTGTAAAAAACGCCCATAAAAACCGCAAAATTCAAAACTGAAACTTTGTAAGCATCTCCCCATGGACCCAATGAACCTTCATGCCAAATTTGGTGAAGATCCATCAATAGAGGCGAAATAGTGGTAAAAAACGCCCATAAAAACCGCAAAATTCAAACCTGAAACTTTGTAAGCATCTCCCCATGGACCCAATGAACCTTC